TTTGGGGGGGGGGGGGTAGCGTCACACGAATCTTTCTCTCCAGCGGTAGTATGGTGGAAAATCATGGTTGGCGAAACGCCCATATGTTTGCCCGCTTCCATCGTTGAAGTATGCGCCGTTCGGGGTGGTTGCTGTCCTCCGGTGTGTCTGTCGTCAAGTGTGGTTGGTGCTGAGTGTGGTTAAATGTGCGTTTGATGCTGACTGTCAACCATCAACCATCAACCATCTCTCTCACAAGAGAGTGTCTGCTCGGCTGCCTTTCCTTACGAAGTGAGTTCCTTTTCGCTCGTGTTTTTTTACATCATCTGGCAGCTCGCCGTTTGGTTTATCTGTCTGTCTGTCTGTCTTGCCTTTTTCTCTCTCATCGACCCCACCCTTAATTGTGTGTCTTCAATATTAGCATCGGCCGTGCTAACCTGGTGACCGATGAAAACACGTTCTTCTCAGCGCGGTTGAAGTATGTGTGTAAATTGTTTGTCCGTCTCGGGATGATGACGTCACAGAACCTTCCCACGGAACTCCTGGCTGAGTCTTTCGCCGAGAAACCTAAAGAGAAGCCCGCCGACAAGGACGTCAAGGAGAAGGAGGCCGCGGCTGCCGCAGAGGCGGCGAAGAAGAAGAAGAAGGCCGAGAGGGTGGAGCTGCTGGACGGGAAGACGCTCCGGAACACCGGCATCGCCTTCAAGCGATTCAGGTCAGTGTGTGTGTGCATACGTGTTTGCCTTTGGGTGCGTTGTCGTGGACCGGCCTCTTGACTCTTTTTGAGCACGCGGCTTTCTCACCGCGCGTGAGCCTGCTGTTGTAGTAGTCCTACAAGCGCCCGCTGTACGCATCACTCCCTCAGGAGGGAAACTCGAACTCCAACCCCCCCCCCCCCCCCCCCCCCCCCCCCCCCCCCCCCCCCCCCCCCCCCCCCCNNNNCCCCCCCGGTCACCTCCACCGTACCCCTGACAGGATGAAGCCTCACGACTTGCGAGACTCGTTGGTGGCGATGGATCTCGACAAGTTTGACACGGACAAGTTCATCGCTCTCCGCAACATCTCCCCCAGCCCGGACGACCTGCCGACGCTCAAGGGCTACGAGGGTGATCTCGACAAGCTTGACGAGGTAAAGGGACACAAGAGAGAGAGGGAGGGAGGGAGGGAGGGAGGGGATAGAGGGAGGGATGTTGGCGCAGGAGGCGTCGAGTGCGAGAGGGATAGCCTTACTCGGTCCCCCTGTTTTGTTCAGCACGCCTGGTCTTGGTCGAAAGCAGCCCCCCATGAGGATCACCTCAGCCCAAAGAAATAGCTGGCATAGCAAGTGCGAGGATGATGCCAGGTTTGGTATAGTCGTTGTGATACGTAGCCTGGCCCGGCGAACACCCGGCGTTTCGCTCCGTCTCGGCGTTGTAAGGATGCCAGGTCAATGGTCTATCGACTACGGCTCACATTTACATGAGTAACCCCTCCCGCCCGACCCGGTCTCCCTGTCATGAACCCTTTATCGTCTTCGCTCCCGGCGTATCCACGGTTCTATCCGCCGCAGGTGACCCTCTTCATGGTGCTGACCGCCAGGATTCCCCGGTACACGGCCCGGCTGGACTGCGCCCTCTTCATGAAGGGCTTCTCCAGCGACGCCGATTTCCTGAGCGAGAAGCTCGGGGTGGTGAGCATCGCCGTCCTCGAGGTGGTGGACTCTCCCCGGCTCAAGAGGTTGATCGAGGTGGTGCTGGCCATGGGCAACTACCTGAACGAGGGCACGAGGAACGGGGAGGCGAAGGCGATCAAGCTTGCCTCGCTGCTCAAGCTCGACACCGTCAAGTGAGCGAGGCGATGCCGAGTTTTTTTGTGATGAGATGTAGTCTGTGTTTCGGGATGGTGATGTGGGTCTGCCTGGGTGCTCAAGCTCGACACCGTCAAGTGAGAGGGGCGATGTCGACTTGTTTTGTGATGAGATGTAGTGTGTGTTTCGAGATGGTGATGTGGGTCTGTCTCGGTCCTCAAGCTCGACGCGGTCAAGTAAATGGTGGGGAGGGCAGTTTCCACGTGCTTTGTGATGAAATCCAGAGTACGGAAACAGATGGTAGAACATGTAGTGTGTTTTGTCCCGCTATTAGAGAGACTGACTGACTGATCAGCCGGTTCTGATTCTGGCGTCTTCTTTCATTCGTCAGCCGAAAGCGCGGTCGATGCTAAATGGTTAGTATTGACACACCCACGCGCACGCACACACACACATTTTGTGTTTCCCGCCGCACTGAGACTGACGTCTTTTCATTGGTCAGCCGGTTAGCGCGGCCGATGCTAATAATAAAAGCACACACACACACACACACACACACACACACACACACACACACACACACACACACACACACAGGACAATGGACAAGAAGAAAACGTTGCTTCACGTGCTGATGAGCTGGGCGAAGGACAAAGAGCCCGACCTGCTGTTGATGGACCGAGACCTGGAGCACGCCTCTGAGGCATCGAATTGGAGCCTTACGGACCTCAAGCAGCAGGTACGCGTCGCAGGTGTTCTTCGAGCGTACGGCGAAGACAGCCACCCCGCGCTTGTTGTCCACATGCTATTTTTCGTTCTATTTAGTGGCGTTGTGCGCGAAACAAAGTTGAAGCTGTTGTTGCTGTGCAGCCAGAGGGTGTTTGGTGGGGTGGTAAAAGCGATGTGCCACGCAGTGCAGTGGTGAGTACATACGGGCGACGCTTTGGTTTTCAGCTCTGCTATCTGTTGATGTAGAGCCTCGCCCATAGAGAATGTAGTCCGTTACCGAAAATGTAGCTCGAGCCATACCAGAAGAAATTCGTACGCGGAATGTTCCCACCCGACTCAGAACAAACCTTAACCCTTAAGCCTGTCGTTCTCTGCGTTTGCTGCTAATGTGGACTGCGTCCGCTGTTTTTTGTTTCATGATGCTCGCCGTTGCCGGTATCGATTCGTGCTACTACTACTGCTGCTGCTGCTGCTTTCGGATTCTTGGACTACCGCTTCTGCTGTTGCCGTTTGTTGAACCGTCGCTTCTGCTTTTGTTACTGACGCTGACGCTGACGCTGCTGCTGCTGCTGCTGCTGCTGCTGCTGCTGCTGCTGCTGCTGCTGCTGCTGCTGCTGCTGCTGCTGCTTTTGCTGCAGGTAACCCAACTGACGAAGGGGTTCACGCTGATGCAAGCCCAGCTGAAGATGGCGAAGGGCGGTGTGAGCAAGCTGGAGGGCGACAAGTTTGCGGACGTTGTGGAACCGTTCCTCGAGAAGGCGAAGGTGGTAGACAAGCCTTCCAGCTTGCAGGATTTGACAAGAGAAGGGGGGAAGAGATGAGGGTTCTCGTTGATCTTTGGGAATTTGTAGTGTGTGTTTGACTGCGTAGTTTGCATCGGCCGAGCTACCCCTGCGGGGGGGGGGGCGTAATCTTGCTCTTATGTTTTGCATGCCTTAGCGGTTAGACCATTGACCACGCGTCCTCGAGAGGACGGAGCGTTGTTGTCACAGGACCGATCACCGGTGGCCAATCGTTCCTTCCTACTTTGCCAAAGGTGGCTCAAAAATGTCTTCCCTAGTCTGTCTATCCTAACGATATCCCTTCCCGCCT